TCTACTCCGGGGGACGAAATAAAGAGTTCCGTTCGAAATTCCAATCACCTGAAGAAGGCCGGAGCGTACAACGGCCGAAACGTTGTGATTATGGCAGTGAAGATGAAGATAACCGTCAAATAATGTAAGTAATGTAAATAATGTGTTATGGGATCTTACCCATAATAATAATAATGGACTATTCCATACTTAATAAATACTGCACCTCAGGAGTAGGCAAGGAGTCAGTCGTTCACCTCTGGACTGACTGCATTTTTCAACTTTTTCCTACGGGCGAGAGGAACCCGATAGAGGCTACGCCGAAGGGCGGAGTCTCCTTCAAAGGTAAAACCGGCCCTGGACCCCGTTCATACGGGTTCAAATGGGCTATTTTTTAAATAAGCCTAATGGCTCAAATTTTGCCCACGTTAAAAAACCTTGTGCCACATGACACCCTCGTGGGGGGTGACTGAATATTGTCAGTCGTTCACTTTCTTTAGCGAACCGATTGTTGTTCGGTTCAACTCTCTTCCTACGGGCGAGAAACAATTTTTTTGGAGGCTACGCCGAAGGGCGGAGTCTCCTTCGGGGAGGTTAAATCGGCCCAGAACCCGTTTATACGGGTTCATTGGGCTATTTTTGGCCGAGCCTAATGGCTCAATAAATTTTGAGGAAACGTTAAAAAAACCTTGTGCCACATGACACCCTCGTGGGGGGTGACTGAATATTGTCAGTCGTTCACTCACTTCTGAGCGACTGTTCGGTTCAACTTCTCTTCCTACGGGCGAGAGGAACCCGAAGGAGGCTACGCCGAAGGGCGGAGTCTCCTTCGGGGAGGTAAAAACGGCCCAGAACCCGTTTATACGGGTTCAAATGGGCTATTTTTGGCCGAGCCTAATGGCTCCGGAATGCCCACGTTAAAAAGGCCTTTGTGCCACACATGACACCCTCGTGGGGGGGGGTGACTGAATATTGTCAGTCGTTCACTTTCTGAGCGACTGTTCGGTTCAACTCTCTTCCTACGGGCGAGGAGGAACCCGAAGGAGGCTACGCCGAAGGGCGGAGTCTCCTTCGGGAGGTTAAACCGGCCCAGAACCCGTTTATACGGGTTCAAATGGGGCTATTTTTTATAAGCCTAATGGCTCGGGAATGCCCACGTTAAAAAAATGCCACATGACACCCTCGTGGGGGGATGACTGAATATCAGTCAGTCGTTCACTTTCTGACGACTGTTCGGTTCAACTCTCTTCCTACGGGCGGAGGAACCCGAAGGAGGCTACGCCGAAGGGCGGAGTCTCCTTCGGGAGAAAAAAATCGGCCCTGAACCCGTTTATACGGGTTCAAATGGGCTATTTTTGGCCGAAGCCTAATGGCTCCGGGAATGCCCACGTTAAAAAGGCCTTGTGCCACATGACACCCTCGTGGGGGGGTGACTGAATATCGTCAGTCGTTCACTTTCTGAGCGAGTGTTCGGTTAAACTCTCTTCCTACGGGCGGGAGGAACCCGAAGGAGGCTACGCCGAAGGGCGGAGTCTCCTTCGGGAGAGGTTTTATACGGGTTCAAATGGGCTATTTTTTTGGCCGAGCCTAATGGCTCGGGAATGCCCACGTTAAAAAGGCCTTTGTGCCACATGACACCCTCGTGGGGGGTGACTGAATATTGTCAGTCGTTCAACTTTGAACCGACTGTTCGGTTAAACTCTCTTCCTACGGGCGGGGAGGAACCCGAAGGAGGCTACGCCGAAGGGCGGAGTCTCCTTCGGGGAGGTAAAAAGGCCCTGAACCCGTTTATACGGGTTCAAATGGGCTATTTTTTGGCCGAGCCCAATGGCTCGGGAATGCCCACGTTAAAAAACCGGCCTTGTGCACATTTTGACCCCCTCGTGTGGGGGTGACTGAATATTGTCAGTCGTTCAACTTTGAACCGACTGTTCGGTTAAACTCTCTTCCTACGGGCGGGAGGAACCCGAAGGAGGCTACGCCGAAGGGCGGAGTCTCCTTCGGGGAGGTAAATGCGGCCCAGAACCCGTTTATACGGGTTCAAATGGGCTATTTTTTGCCGAGCCTAATGGCTCAAGAATGCCCACGTTAAAAAGGCCTTGTGCCACATGACACCCTCGTGGGGGGTGACTGAATATTGTCAGTCGTTCAACTTTGAACCGACTGTTCGGTTCAAACTCTTCCTACGGGCGGGAGGAACCCGAAGGAGGCTACGCCGAAGGGCGGAGTCTCCTTCGGGGAGGTAAAACCGGCCCTGAACCCGTTTATACGGGTTCAAATGGGCATATTTTTGGCCTAATGGGCTCGGGAATACCCACAATAAAAAACCGACCTTGTGTCACATGACACCCCAGTGGGGGGGAGACTGAATATTGTCAGTCGTTCAACTTTGAACCGACTGTTCGGTTAAACTCTCTTCCTACGGGCGGGAGGAACCTGAAGGAGGCTACGCCGAAGGGCGGAGTCTCCTTCGGGGAGGTAAAACGGCCCTGAACCCGTTTATACGGGTTCAAATGGGCTATTTTTTGGCCGAACCTAATGGCTCGGGAATGCCCACGTTAAAAAGGCCTTGTGCCACATGACACCCTCGTGGAGGGGGTGACTGAATATTGTCAGTCGTTCACCTCTGAACAGACTGCTTGGTTTGAACTCTCTTCCTACGGGCGGGAGGAACCCGAAGGAGGCTACGCCGAAGGGCGGAGTCTCCTTCGGGGAGGTAAAACCGGCCCTGAACCCGTTTATACGGGTTCAATGGGCATATTTTTGGCCGAGCCCAAGGGCTCGGAATGCCCACGTTAAAAAGGCCTTGTGCCACATGACACCCTCGTGGGGGGGGGGGAATATCGTCAGTAGCTCAAGTGGAGTCAGTAGTTCGGAGTCAGTAGTTCAAGTCGAGTCAATAGTAGAGTCAGAGGCAGTCCGAAACAGAGTCGCGTTCAAACAATTACTGCAAGACATTGGAATAGTGATACTGGTCGTGACTACATTGTTCTCTCTACTAAACCTGATGGTTCATACTAACACTTCTACTTATCTGTATATATTCCTGTTTGTAATATATGTGTGTTATTCCATACCTGTGTTCGAGTTCTTTATGGTTCTACCTTGGAGTATCACCGTGGTACAAGGAACCGGACCATAACAATATTGAAAGTAGAATTAAGCGTTACTGGGAGAATAGGATTAATAATGGTGTCGTTATAGAATTTATTTTATATGCTAATGTTCACCCAGTACAAGGCCCAATAGACAGTCAAGGTAGAGGGTTATTTTGTGGTGTATGAGCGTAGGAAAAGATAAGAAGTGAAATGGGGCTATGCAGACAATATATATATAAGTATATGTATGCATATGTATATATACATACATATCTGTCCATATATATATATATATATATATATATGTATGTATATGTATAGTTAAATATAACAGACAACGAATGTCTATTATATTTGATCATGAGCCGTTCTAAACTTTGTATAATTGCTTTAATTTCGGGCGAAAATAAAGACAAAAATTGTCCAACATATTTTTTATTATGCTGTTACTTGATCTAAGCTTTCGGCTGACATGAGCCATCTTCAGAGTTGCGAATGCGGACATTTATACAGAGATATTCACCATCAAAGTTGATATTCTGTTATGTTGACATAGAAGATTGCTATCCGACGATAACAGTCGCGGAATAGCAGATGCAAATCGTAAGTTCATGATGCAGTTTTATGACGACGTGCCACGTGAGAGACCGAAATATTAACAACATGGCCATATGAATAGATTCAATTAATATATATATATATATATATATATATATATATATATATACTAGTAGCATTGCCCGGCGTTGTCTGTGCTTGATTCAAAAATCGTACGACTCATACAGCAATCGCTACCACTTGACTTTTTTTTTTTCTTCCTTGCCTTTTTTAAAAAAATCTGTGCCCTTTTCCGTGCTGATGTTGCTACATGCCTTACTTCTTGCCTATCTCACACTGTGATTTTTTTTTTTAAGCTCTATACTAAACATTAAATCTGTTACGAAAAAAAGAACTAAACAAAATGAACACAAAAAACGATCAGCTTTAAAAAAAAAAGACTCGTAACTGGAAAAACCGAATGAAAAAAGTATGTTGACAACAAATACTTTTTCACCCCCAACACAGTTCTGCGGAATCAGAATCAACGTTGAGTTTAAGCAAGCGAATGAAACAATTGGAGTAAAGTGCCATGCAGATTTAAATTGTGACGAATGCAGCTATCAATTTTTTTGCATGCTAGCATGCTAGTTAAAATTCATGTCAGTCAGCTGTTGCCTCTCACGCTGGCCAATAGAATCTTCCTGCCTATTCGTGGCAGCCAGCTATTGGCTCTCATTCTGGCCAGTTGAAAATGGCCGCAAACTACATGAAAACTGCCGTAGAAGCATGAAAATATCGATTATTTCCACTATCGATGGGAGTTTGGAAATGCAAAGTTGGTCTTGGCCTTCCCGCTAACTTGGAGCATGTGCATGTAAATTTTGGTGCAAATCCTTCGAAAATTGCGGCCGTGCATTCGTTACACACACACACACACACACACACACACATCCTGCCTTTTATAGATAGAGATATATAGGACTAATATAAATATAACATTTGTCACTGAGCTGATTGATGTTATATTTAGAAACTCGACTCCAGAGTTTCGTAGACAAAGTTTAGTGTATTTGTTCGGTCCACTCGTCAGAGGACATCACAAATGAACTGTTTTACTGATGTTATGTTGATTTTTTCTTTGTTGTGTGCGTGATTGTGTCTGTTTTTCTGTTACACGTATTTCTTCACAATTCTTTCAACCAATTCTTTTACTTTATTGTTATGATTTCAACCAATCATCAATCTTGTGTCAATTCTTTCTTTTTTTTTTTCACTTTCATCGACGCCTCTTTCTATTTTCTTTTTCTTATTCTCTCATCAACCATTTTTCTTTTTTTCTTTTTCACAATTCTTCACCGATTTTTTTTTTCTTTCATTGCTGAGCCTTCAACAATTTGCCATTTTGTGTCATTTCCTTTTCCATTATCTTTCGAATTCTTCTTCATCAACCACTGCTTCTGTTTTCCTTCTTCGTACCTCAATCAACAATTCCTCTTTTTTTCGTAGCTCTTTCTTCTTCTTCATAATTCTTCTTTACGATATCTTTTTTCCTTCTTTGTTAAGCCTTCAGCTCTTTTTTGTGTTAGTCCTTTTTTTATTTAAGCAATCCAATTCTCTTTCATCAACCACTTTTTCTGTTTTCCTTCTTAATACAATCATCAACAAATCTTCATTTCCTCTATATCTTTGCTTTTTCACGATTCTTCTTCATCGACATCTTTTTTTTCTTTCAATGTCAAGCCTTCAACCCTTTTCTGAGTCAATTCTACCTTCCTTCTTTTTTTTTCCAATTCTTTTCATCGACCACTTTTTTCTTTTTCCCATTTTATACCCTAATCAACAATTCTACTTTTCTTTTTCTCATTTCTTCACATTCTTCACGATCTTCATCGACATCTTTTTTTTTTTTCAATGTTAAGCCTTCAACCCTTTTCTTCTGAAAATCTACCTTCCTTCTTTCCAATTCTCTTTCATCGACCAACATTTCTCTTTTTCCATTTTTTATACCCAAATCAACAATTCTACTTTTTTCTGTATCTTTCTTTTCTTCTTCATCGACATCTTTTTTCTTTCAATTCAACCCTTTTCGACATCTTTTTTTTCCAATTTCAATTTTTTCTTTTCCATTTTATACCCTTCAACCTCTTTCTTTTCTTCTTCATCGACATCTTTTTTCTTTCAATGTTCAACCCTTTTCTGAGTCAAATCTTTTCTTTCCAATTCTCTTTCATCGACCACTTTTCTCTTTTCCATTTTTATACCCAAATCAACAATTCTACTTTTTCTCTGTCTCTTTCTTCACGATTCTTCTTCATCGACATCTTTTTTTCTTTCAATGTTAAGCCTTCAACCCTTTTCTGAGTCAATTCTACCTTCCTTCTTTCCAATTCTCTTTCATCGACCACTTTTTCTCTTTTCCATTTTTATACCCAAATCAACAATTCTACTTTTTCTCTGTCTCTTTCTTCACGATTCTTCTTCATCGACATCTTTTTTTCTTTCAATGTTAAGCCTTCAACCCTTTTCTGAGTCAATTCTACCTTCCTTCTTTCCAATTCTCTTTCATCGACCACTTTTTTTCTTTTCCATTTTTATACCCAAATCAACAATTCTACTTTTTCTCTCTTTTTTTTTCACGATTCTTCTTCATCGACATCTTTTTTTATTTCAATGTTAAGCCTTCAACCCTTTTCTTTATCAATTCTACCTTCCTTCTTTCCAATTCTCTTTCATCGACCACTTTTTCTCTTTTCCATTTTTATACCCAAATCAACAATTCTACTTTTTTCTCTCTTTCTTCACGATTCTTCTTCATCGACATCTTTTTTTTCTTTCAATGTTAAGCCTTCAACCCTTTTCTGAGTCAATTCTACCTTCCTTCTTTTTCAATTCTCTTTCATCGACCACTTTTTCTTTTCCATTTTTATACCCAAATCAACAATTCTACTTTTTCTCTGTCTCTTTCTTCACGATTCTTCTTCATCGACATCTTTTTTTCTTTCAATGTTAAGCCTTCAACCCTTTTCTGAGTCAATTCTACCTTCCTTCTTTCCAATTCTCTTTCATCGACCACTTTTTTATCTTTTCCATTTTTATACCCAAATCAAAAATTCTATTTTTTCTCTTTTTCTTCACGATTCTTCTTCATCGACATCTTTTTTTTTTTCAATGTTAAGATAATTTTCAAGTCCTTCAACCCTTTTCTCTTTCAATTCTCCTTTTTCTTTCCAATTTATACTAATCAAAATTCTATTTTTCTCTCATCGACCTTCTTTTCTCTTTTTCTTTCAATGTTTTTATAACCCTTTTCTGAGTCAATTCAACAATTTCTTTTTTTTTTCTGTCTCTTTTTTTCATTTTTATTTAATCGATTCTTCTTTTCTCTCTCATCTTTTTCTTCTTTCAATGTTTTTTTTTTCAACCCTTTTCCCTTTTTGAGTCAATTCTACCTTCCTTCTTTCCAATTCTCTTTCATCGACCACTTTTTCTCTTTTTTCATTTTTATACCCAAATCAACAATTCTACTTTTCTCTCTCTCTTTCTTCACGATACTTCTTCATCGACATCTTTTTTTTTTCAATGTTAAGCCTTCAACCCTTTTCTGAGTCAATTCTTCCTTCCTTCTTTTTTTTCTTTTTTAATTCTCTTTCATCGACCATTTTTCTCTTTTCCAATTTTATGCCCTCATCAAAATTCTATTTTTCTCTCTCTCTTTCACGATTCCTTTCATCGACATTTTTTTTCTTTCAATGTTCAAGCCTTCAACCCTTTTCTGAGTCAATTCTTTCTTCCTTCTTTTTCATTCTCTTTCATCGACCACTTTTTTCTTCATCGACATTTCCATTTTTTATACCCTAATCAAAAATTCTATTTTTCTTTCTTTCTTCACGATTCCTCTTCATCGACATCTTTTTTTTAAACCTCAATTTTAAGCCTTCAACCCTTTTCTTAGTCAATTCTACCTTCCTTCTTTTCCAATTCTCTTTCATCGACCACTTTTTCTCTTTTCCATTTTTATACCCAAATCAACAATTCTACTTTTTCTCTGTCTCTTTCTTCACGATTCTTCTTCATCGACATCTTTTCTTCTTTCAATGTTAAGCCTTCAACCCTTTTCTGAGTCAATTCTACCTTCCTTCTTTCCAATTCTCTTTCATCGACCACTTTTTCTCTTTTCCATTTTTATACCCAAATCAACAATTCTACTTTTTCTCTATCTCTTTCTTCACGATACTTCTTCATCGACATCTTTTTTTTTTTCAATGTTAAGCCTTCAACCCTTTTCTGAGTCAATTCTTCCTTCCTTCTTTTTTCTTTCCAATTCTCTTTCATCGACCACTTTTTCTCTTTTCCAATTTTATGCCCTCATCAAAAATTCTATTTTTCTCTCTTTCTTCACGATTCCTCTTCATCGACATCTTTTTTTTCAATGTTAAATTTTCAACCCTTTTTCTGAGTCAATTCTACCTTCCTTCTTTCCAATTCTCTTTCATCGACCACTTTTTTTCCTTTCCATTTTTATACCCAAATCAACAATTCTACTTTTTCTCTGTCTCTTTCTTCACGATTCTTCTTCATCGACATCTTTTTTTCTTTCAATGTTAAGCCTTCAACCCTTTTCTGAGTCAATTCTACCTTCCTTCTTTCCAATTCTCTTTCATCGACCACTTTTTCTTTTTCCATTTTTATACCCAAATCAACATATCTACTTTTTTTTGTCTCTTTCTTCAAAATATTCTTCTTCATCGACATCTTTTTTTCTTTCAATGTTAAGCCTTCAACCCCTTTCTGAGTCAATTCTACCTTCCTTCTTTCCAATTCTCTTTCATCGAATACTTTTTCTCTTTTCCATTTTTATACACAAATCAACATATCTACTTTTTTTTTTGTCTCTTTCTTTCACGATTCTTCTTCATCGACATCTTTTTTTCAATGTTAAGCCTTCAACCCTTTTCTGAGTCAATTTACCTTCCTTCTTTCCAATTCTCTTTCATCGACCACTTTTTTCTCTTTTCCATTTTTATACCCAAATCAACAATTCTTTTTTTTTTCTTTTTTCTTCACGATTCCTCTTCATCGACATCTTTTTTTCTTTCAATGTTAAGCCTTCAACCCTTTTCTGAGTCAATTCTACCTTCCTTCTTTCCAATTCTCTTTCATCGACCACTTTTTCTCTTTTCCATTTTTATACCCTAATCAAAAATTCTATTTTTCTCTCTTTCTTCACGATTCCTCTTCATCGACATCTTTTTTTCTTTCAATGTTAAGCCTTCAACCCTTTTCTGAGTCAATTCTACCTTCCTTCTTTCCAATTCTCTTTCATCGACCACTTTTTCTCTTTTCCATTTTTATACCCAAATCAACAATTCTACTTTTTCTCTATCTCTTTCTTCACGATTCTTCTTCATCGACATCTTTTTTCTTCAATATAAAGCTTTCAACTTTTTTATCTGACAATTCTTCCTTCTTTGATTTTTTTCTTTCAATTCTCCTTCATCGACGTCTATTTCTGTTTTCCTTCTTTATACCCACATCAACAATTATACTTTCCCACTATCTCTTTTTTTTCTTTACGATTCTTCTTCACCGACATCTTTTTTCTTTCAATGTTAAGCCTTCAACACTTTTCTTCACTGTACTTTTTTTACCGACATCTTTGTTTCTTCAATGTTTTTCTTCTTCGCAAGTTTTCTTTTTTTTTTTTTGCTCCATTGTTAAGTCTTTAACTACTCATCGTTTTGTGTCAATTCTTCTTCCGACTTTCAAATTCTCCATTATTGATCTCTATTTCCTTCTTCTTTCCTTACACTCTCATTAACCATTTTCTTCTTTTCGGAGTCTCTTTTATGCTCCTCATTTCAATTCCTGACACATTTGTATACCATCGTAGAGCGTTTCAGAACCTGTAACCCCCCTCTTAATGTTCACAATACGGATCTGCTTCTCGTACCAGCCGACGAATATTTTAGTATAAAACCAATCACCTCTGAGCGATGGTCGCGCGTCTAGCTTGAGAATAAGCTTTCTAATATATATATATATATATATATATTTTACTCGTATCTGAAAATTGATTACAAATCCCAAACGGTAACAAGCAGATCATATATGAAATTACTCATACGTCATAATACAATTTACCTATTTGGGATTTTGCGAGGGTCTGCGGTTATTTTCGGAAGATGAGAAACGCCAACCATAGGCAGGAGACACTGTAAGCGCGGAAGTCATTTATTTGCCGCCGTAACACAATGACAAACTTAAGTTCTACGATTCACGATGCGTATACTATATACGCTTTTTCACTTGACAGAGCACGCAGCTAAAGTTAGAATTCTCAAACTGGGTCTTTCAGAATTTTCACTGATCCCTCGTACATTGTTCAGAAGTATCAAGTTATATACATTTTCCAACTCCACCAAGTACAATAAGATGTGTTGTTTGGCTGGTTGGTGTCGGTGGGAGAGTCGCTCGGTCGCTCGGAGCCAATATTTTCGATATCGTCTGAAGACAGATTCAATATTCATTTATTTCCAAATATAGTTAAAAGTGATTTAAGATCTACCTCCCAGAAATATACCCCCCGGATTATATCTGCAGACGTCAACGTGCGTATTTCTCATTGGTATATGGGAGCTTGGTCGAGTAGTAAGAATGTCCGCTTTTCGACAATGAGGCCCGGGTTTGAATCTCACCATGGATTTGTCAAGGAGGTGACATCTTGTTATTATCGGTCTAGATGGAGTGACCCAATCCTTGCGAGTAAAACAGGGTAGACGAAACTGTTCGGAAGCCGTCAATAGCATGAAGTCGCAAGCCATCGTGACCGAGTGTTTGAGTTGTTGTTCAAACGGATGATCATGACAGATTATGCGCTCTCTGCCAGAAACTGTAACGAAGGAGCAGTTATAGTTGAACAATAAGCCAAAATGTGCCTGAGCAGGGGTCTGCCGAAAGGATGCTGACAATACCATAAACAGAGTATGAGAGCAAGTAGGAAGTTTTTAGGAAAATGGAAACAAAAAAGGCACATATATACTTAGAAGTAGAAAGAGACAGAGCATCAGAGATGTGGTTCTCCAGAAGAGGGCTGAGAATACCATGGACGAAGCATGTGAGCAATGAGGAAGTTTTAAAGAAAATGTAAACAAAAAGGGCACACATACTTAGAAGTAAAAAAGGGCAAGCATCAGTCCTACTGAAGAAGGCTGTGAATACCACGGACGGAGCATGTAATATATAAGGAATTTTAATCAAAATTAAACCCTTTCAACTGGCGATCTAAACATTACTCACTATCAAAAATATTTCAGACATGTATACCTACATTAGGAACTACTAAAATCAACATTGCAACTCAAAATTAAGCTTAGTGAGCATATTGTTTTTTCGTCTTTCTCTCTCTCTCCTCCCCCATATATATATATATATATATATTATCTACAAGCCCCTTTATATATAATACCTGACCTCTCTTCTCGATCTGGGTTTTACCTCCATCCCCGAGTCTTGTAGCGCCACGCAACTCTGCCCTCTTGGTAACTCTGATCATGCTGTAGTATCTGTTAACATCTCCTTCAACTCCACCCCCTGCAAAGAATCTCCTACCACTAGAACTTCGTTCTACTATCAACGAGCTGACTGGGACTCGTTCCGTGATATCCTCCGCGATGTCACCTGGGATGTTGTCTTTACACTCCCTGTCCAAGAATGTGCTTCTGAGGTCTGATCCTGGGTTAAAGCTGGAATCGACGCTTTCATCCCCTCCACGAAATATAGGCTCAAGTCGCGCTCCTCCCCCTGGTTCTCCGCTGCTGGCTCAACCGACATTGCCCATAGAAACCACTTCTTTCACCTTCCATCGTAGCGACATGTCTGACTGCAATAAACGTCTCTTTGCCTCCGCCCGTAACGAGTGTAAGCGTGTCCTTAACGATGCTAAGTCACTATTTGCTGCTCGGATGAAGGAACGTATTGCATCTCGCAAATTTGGCTCCAAAGATTATTGGCGTCTCTGCAAGAGCGTATTGAACAATTGCAAACCCTCTATACCTCCTTTGTTCAACCAGTTCGAAATTCTGACCTCCTCTGACGACAAGGCTGAATGCTTTGCTCGGAAATTTTCATTCAACTCAACGCTCGACTCTTCCGGTGTACCCATACCCGACTTCCCTCTTAGAACTGAGGCCCTATTGAGTGGGTTACACATAACCCCGTCTTTGGTATTGGGCATTATCTCTAATTTAGACCCCAACAAGGCTAGTGGTGATGGGATACCAGCCATTGTCTTGAAGAAATGCGCGCCTGAACTGGCGCCCACCCTCTCTAAACTATACAACTACTGCCTCAAAGAATCTTGTTTTCCTGACTGCTGGAAGTCCTATTCGATTGTTCCTGTCTTCAAGAACTCTGGCGACCCCTCTGACCTTTCTAATTACCGTCCTATCAGTCTCCTACCCCTCTTCAGTAAAGTCTTCGAAGCCCTAATCAATGCCGAAGTGGTTAACCACCTTACATCCCATGATCTGCTCTCAGACAAACAATATGGCTTCCGCTTTGCCCGATCTACAGCTGATGTGCTTACGGCCATCACTGAAACTGTCTACCGAGCTCTTCAAAATAACGGGGAAGCTCGTGCCGTGGCCCTAGACATCTCCAAAGCATTTGATAGGGTTTGGCAAGCCGGCCTTCTTCGCAAGCTCCAGGGTTATGGCATTACGGGTCGATTGTTTAACCTAATACAATCATTCCTGTCAAACCGTGAATTGAAGGTCGTTCTCAACGGATTCTCCTCCAGTTCCTATCCCACGAACGCAGGTGTTCCTCAAGGCTCCATCCTAGGCCCCACTCTATTCCTTATCTACATAAATGACCTTCCTGACGCCGTAAATTCCCAAGTTGGCATCTACGCAGATGACACCACAATTTATTCCTGCCTCAAAAACAAATCTAGTCTCGCTGACAAAACTAACCTTGCCGTGCGTCTCGAAAAGGACCTCCAATCGATTGTGAACTGGGGCAGGAATTGGCTGGTCAACTTTAACGCTTCAAAAACAAAACAGCTCTCTATTAATCACCACAGAGATCCTTCCCTGCCCTCCATTGGAATGTCTGACGCTCAACTTCTCGAGAGCAACTCTCTGCGGCTGCTCGGTCTCACGTTGACTGCTGACCTGAGATGGAACAAATACATTGAGTCAATTGCTTCGTCCACCGCAAGGAAAGTTGGCTCCCCTGTGCCGCGCCAGGAAATTTTTTTCTCCCGAATCGATCCTCCAGATCTACAAATCAACAATTCGCCCTTGCATGGAGTATTGCTGCCATATATGGTCTGGAGCCCCTTCTGTTTGCCTCAGGGGTTCTTGATAGGCTCCAGAGGCGGATATGCAATATAATTGGCCCTGTTCTGGCATCTCGTCTACAGTCACTTTCTCACAGACGCGCCGTCGCCTCTCTCTGTCTTTTTTTTTTAAATACTTTCATGGCAATTGCTCCGAGGAGCTGCATTCGCTGGTTCCCAGACTTCATGAATTCAAGCGCCCTACGAGGCTGGCATCCCGCTCTCACCCTTTCACTGTTGAAACTTCTAAATGTAGCCGTCTCTTCTACTCCAATAGCTTCATGTCTCGCACTTCTCGCCTGTGGAACTCCCTTCCCTATTCCAGTTTCCCTGAGAGCTATAATCTCCAACTATTCAAATGTAATGTCAATCGACATCTCCAGTTGCCTTGATCTATCCACTATCCTTCTCCTCATCCTTTCTTCTATCACTCCTATCTGATCTTGCTCCAAATCTTCTGTAACCCCTTGCATCCTAGTGGCTTCCCGCCTTGCTTGGGGTGAAATGCTTAAAAAAAGAAAAAATATATATATATATATATATATAAAATATATGTATATAAATTTTCTGATAAACTTTAAAACGTGATTAACCCAAATTCTTCTTGACAAGTAGAACGTCATATTTGTTTTTTTTTATAACGATAATTTGTTTTTCTGAATAATTTCTGGAAAATCGTTTAATAATGCCAGGAATAATCTCTATGTGACAAAAAAAAATAACTCAATTCAAATGAACCTCTGACCTTATTTTTTCTATTTAACTTAGATTTTGATCATTTAATTGGATAATAAAGACAATATGAAGTTTTTTTTTAATTCTGACATTATTTTGAAGTTACCACTTTTTAATTTTCTTTCGTTAAGAGGTAACGATTTGCAGATTTGAATTTGCCTTCAAAAAATCATTTTATATTTTTAAAACCAACCATTGCCTTTAAACAATTATAGTATTGAAAATAAAGAAAAATCATTATTTCTGTTAAATTTAAAATTGTTTTACAAATAAAATATAATGAATTCAATAAATATATATATATATAAATATATATATATATATATATATATATTTAAAAATAAAAGGAAAAATGATTTCAAATTTTCAATATTGGTTAAGTTGTTTTGTTGGAGATTTTTCTTTTGAAAGCCAACAACATTTTTTTCCAGCAATATACTAGGACAAATTAAAAACTATGACATATTTTTATCTTGTTTATAAATGATTGGAAACATATGATTTTTTTAGTCAAAAATTTCCATTTTTTTATATCAAATTTTTTTTTCAAAAAAACTTTTAATATTGTCTTATTCGTCTTAATTTTCATTTTGGTGGTCAACGTTTTTTATCATATTTAAATATTAATTTTTTATAACTTTTTATAAATATATTTGATTTGATTTAAATGGTTTTATATTTTTTTTTTTTTTTTTTTTTAAATATTGAAAAATTAATTTATTTAATATTAAAATTTTGGAATT